AAAAAAAAAAAAAAATATATATATATATGGTTACAAAGATTTCTACTTTTAAACTTTTGCAACAATCTCTTTTTATCCTAATTGGCAACTACTTTATGTTGTCTCGACAGTGCAGGCAGTGTAGTCTATATACTATTGATACAGTGCCTATACGGTATAGCATTGATATAGGAAAAATTTTAAGACAATTGTTTTTATAAAGTAACATAATTTGTAGTATTATTGTTAAATTACATTATAAACATCAAACTTAGAAATAAATATCTACTGGGATTATCAAATACTAAAATGCTGATGCCCTCCCATTATCTTAGTTCAGAGGTGTTCAGTCTTTTTTTCTTTCTGCTGCACGTTGGAATAAGAGTTGTTCTGGGACACACAGTAAATATACAAACACTTATGAAAGCTGATTAGCAAATAAAAAGTCTATGTGTACTTTCTTTGATATATGACACCACAGATAAAGGAAAAAAGTCCTCATGAAATCAGCATGCCACATGTTGGACACCCCTGCTTTATTCTTGCTTTACTACCTAAATTCATATCCTTGTTTTTATGGAAATGGTATATCCATAGAAGGATTTAGGCATGGATATGTTTTAAGTATTTTAATTTACTATCTGTATATTGCATAGCACCTACAAAACAAGAGAAAGGATTTTCTTACCCTAGGAAAAATACCATGCATACAGACACAGAATAGACCTGTAGCACGTAACATTATATTTTAAGAGAGTGTGGTTCTCACCACTCTCTAAAACATGGTGAGTATTTAACAATTACAGAATTCACTTTTCTTTCAAAATACCTATGGAAATTTGCCAAAATTGATTATATGCTGGGTAATAAATCAGGTTCAACATATTCACAAAATTGGAAACATTAAGAGAATGTTTTCTGACCACTGTGGAATTTAGAGATTAGAAACAAAAATACAACTAGGAAATCTATAGAAATCTAAACAAAAATAACTAGAAATAAAAATATGCTTCTAAATAACCCAAGGATCAAAGAAGAAATCACAATATATTGAAGAAATATATTGAAGAGAATGATAATAAAAATAACATAGTTGGCATAAGTTGTAGAATTTGTAAGTCTAAGTGCACATACTGTGAAGGAAGGGATAAAGCTGGAAAAGAATCATCTAAGCACCTACTTCAAGAAGTTGAAGAAAAAGACTAAATCCAAACTAGAAGGGGTAAAATAATAAAAATTTAAAAAAATGTTCATACAATAGAAAGCAGTAGCAAACCAAAGTAAAATTCATCGAAAACACTAATAAAATGGATAAACTGCTAGAAGAGACTAGTAAGGAAGGAGAAGAGAGATGGCACAAATTATTAGTTTCAGGAATAAAAAGAGGGCACCATTTCCAATGCTACAGACAATGAAAAGCCAACAGTTTTCTGTTTGTTC